GCTAGGCTCTCTAGTACTTTTAAAAATAAAATTCCAATTTTCCAAAATAAAAAAAAATAGGCTTCTATAAAGACTTAATAAGAGCTAAGGATTGGCAGGGGCTCTGATGCCAAAACGGCATCGCCTCCAAGCTTTGCGGGCAGTGTATACCCTGCCCCGTGTTTAATAATAACAGATTGCAGTGCTACCAATGGGTAGTTTCGTTTCTCCTCATGTTGTACATGTCATATTACTTGTTCATATTTACTTGTTGTATTTATTATTAATTACAGTTGTAAATTTCGTTAATAAAAAAAAATAAAATAAAATAATAATAGAAAGTAATTGTTGAGCTTTTGAATCTTTTTTGACCCAGTTTCTTGAAAATGTATAAGGCATAATAAATAAGGCTTGAAATAAATTGAATAATAGATAAATAACTATTGTACGTTTTTAGTGATTGAAACCGTTCTTAAGCTTTTTCGACTTACAATACCTTTTTTCATAAAATTTTCATTCGTAGATGAAAATTGGCAATACTAAAATATCTTCATAAGGGGAAGTTTTAGTAAAATGTGTTATTATAGTAATAATAGAGAATTTTCATATATTTATATTAATTTTTTTATAAATATGTACACTATTTCTTTATTTTTATATATTTTTTTTATCCTACCTCGCATTGGTCACTTTGGTCATTCGTTTACTAGTAATCCAGTATAAGTTTCTATTTTTAACAGTAATGTCATCTTATCTTAAATCAAGTTTTCTGAAATATCATCTAATGTAGAGGAGATAACTAGATGTTCAGCGTCCATCGTTATCGGCATTAGGGATGGGTTGCAATTTTTTTTTCTCTGTGGATTACTACATTTTATCATTACTTAAAATAATAAACTAAAAATTAAAATGGAGTTATTACTCTTTATTAGTAGAAGCTTCATAGCATATCAATTCATATGATATACTCTATTTTTTTTTTCATATTTCCATCTTTATAATTTAAATTAGCAAAAGTCAATATATATATAATCACACATATCAATACTTGTGCATATAGTAGTTAATAATGATGATGAAAATAAAAAATTTAGATTTTTTTTTTTTTTATGGTGTCTAAAAGCTCCAATATTTTTTTGGTTTTAAATAATGAAAATTTTTGATCGACCAAAAAAAAAAAAAAACTCAACGAGCCTTAATATATAATATTTCACAATGTGTAAAGTTCCAAAATGCAATGAATAAATTTTAAAAAAATTGTTCCGCCGTATAAGGCTCTCCTCCGAAATTACTGGACCAATTATTTTTGAAATTTAATAAAAAAATCAAAGTAAGAGATCGCCCCAAGATGATCCTCCCAACTCGACATTATTTTTCGTATTTTAGTTTTGAAAATCGTGGCCAAAAAAAAAATGTGCCGCTATTAGGCGATGGCGCCTAAACGGCTATAACGATTTTAATTAAACTTGCCTCGAAGCCGTAAAGCACTGCAAAAAAAGTAACCATAGTTGCTGAAACTTGGCGAGTTACTTAAAATGTATACACTTTTATTTGAAATATTTTCATAAATTCTTTAAAAAATATTGGGCCAGATAGTTAAACTTTTTGAAAACATTATTTCTAGGAAAACACCCGAGATTGTTGTTATTTAAAGAATAATTTTATTTTGTAAATTTAAGGCATATTTGTTTTGTATTCTTTACCATAGAAGTGGTAAGAAATTTGATGTGATATGCTACACATATTTAATGTAATATAGGTTATTTGCGAAATCTAGATCTATCTAATTTGTTTTTGGTGTTTATATCTTATAAGAAAAAATGACGGTTCGGTGATGTTTAAATATTGAAAAGAATATCTGAGTTCGCCTCTTTTATCGGGCAACGGTCCCTATTTGATTTTCAGATGTGTATAGTCGTTTTCAGGAGAGGAGGGGAAGGATCGGCGGGACGAGGGGGGAAAAATGAAAAGGGAAAAAAAGGGGGACGTGTAGTGGCCATTTGGGGGCCGTTTGGTAAACATCCAGATAGAGACCGAAAAGGAGCTGGTCGTAAATAATGCATGTGCTATGGGGGGGGGGAGCGATTAGCACAACAAAACCGGCATCTGATTAGAACATAGATTGATCACCACCAACCGCCGTATTTATCATCCCGCTTATACCTTGGGTCGAGTTTTAACTCAACCCCACCTCCCATCAACTCGAGCTTCACAACTTTATAACAAATAGAATCCACGGGACGTGTAATTAATGGATGCAGTTGGGGAACAGGGGAGGGCGCCCCCTACCCTAAATATGTAGCTGTCGTTCGGATATATTAAACTTGGCTAATGAGTTGCCCTTCTCTCTTCTTTCGAGGGAGGAAGTTAACTTGATAACATCCTGCCATGTTTATAATTTTTAATAAATTGGGAGAGGAAATATTATTAATTTGATTTATTAAATTTGTGAATATTTTTTGTTATGGCATCATCTTATGATACACTTATCACTTTATATGACTCATCACTCAGCCTTTTATATAACTCATCCATTTCATTTAAAAATAATTAAAATAAAAATAATATTCATTCTTAGATATTTGGCAATAATAACTTCCAATTGGTAACAATTGAGTATATTTCTGTTACCAACGTTACATGTTAACAAGTTAGTTGACGTTTCGGGATATTTACTCCCATCTTCGGAACTGCAAACCCAAAAATCTTGTGGATGCTAGGCTTAAAATTAATAATATTGTGCTCCATCGTCAAATTTCTGATTCATGTTATAAAATGTATCATCTAGAACAACATCCTGCTTTTGCTCTTCCGTCCTACCGCTGTCAAAATTTCCTTGCTACCTTCCTACACCAAGCCATTTGAACACGGCGACTCGCCAATATTCTACAGATTCTACAATTCAAACGCTCCTTAAAATACTTTCTCTGTATATTTTATATTTACACGTATTTATATCTTTTTTTCATTTATAACTTTATTGTACTCCGAATCAACCTGTAAATATTAAATTGTATTTTATGGACAAAATATTAATATATATTCTGTATTTGTAACTTGTTCTAAAGGGACACTAATCCCAGAATAATAAAATTATTTTCATTCATTAATTAGTTGTATATTAATGGATTGAAATATACTTTTTTTATAAAACACAGACTCCTCTGACGGTCAACAGACCATGTAGCACGTCTAATTTCCGGTTTTAAATCCAAATATATTATTTTATAATTTATATTATGTAATTTTGATAAATAAAAAGACATTTTCTTCTTCTTCTTCTCTTCTATAAATTATATATCATCACTATTCCCTATATTAGTACATATTTTTTTTCCTTAAATATATATATATATATATTTCAGGATATGGAATATATTCCAGTTTCCTTAAAACTGTTCCACATATTCCAACTCTTTTCCTACATGATAATCCCATCAAATATTATCCTTTCATCAAAAACCTTGGAATCCAACATCTCCCGCCATACCATTTCCACCTTAAAAAGTCTAAACTACTTCCGTCACTTATTTCCCGTTGAAACCCGTAGGCTCCTAGTAACTAACTTCCTTAATTTTTCCCCACTTTGACTATTCTTTATATGTGGTATATGGGGGCGTTTCCGGGGATCTTCATCCAAGTCATCCAATCCCACCGACCTTCATACATCTCCGTGCTCCTCCAATTCAAATCCTCTGTTCGCTCCCGCAATACTCGTTCCCGGTCTTCTGATTTATACATAAGGGCCCACCGAACCGCTGCTTTCTACAGATCGTTCATTATCCGATCCTCATTCCTATGGAACTCCACCCCTCCCACATCCGTTAATCCAATTCCCTTCCTACCTTTAAATCCAGCCTGTTCAATCATTTCTTATCCATCCAGTCCCCATGAAATTGTAAATAGATACCACTGTAAATATGTATATAAATTATTAGATTGTTCTTTATTATTTTTAATTTATTTTCAATTTTTTTATTATTAACTTATATAAGCTAGAAAGTATTTTATAATTTTTTAATATGACTATTTCATTACTCAACATTTCTTATTATGTATCTCTGAGGCTTCTTAGCCCACATTACTATCCGTATGTATTATTCTGAAGGGACTTGTCCCAGATTAAATAAAGCATTATTATTATTATCTTTTTTATTCTCGCCTTTGCGGATTTAGAGCTGAAGACCAACCACCTGCAGTTATAATATTTTAGATATTTAAAAATTTTCTTGTTATTCTCGCTGTATCCAAGAGAACAGCTTGCTGAGCCTCTCTTAACACATCAAGGGGTAATTCCAAGCCGTCCGTTCCAGCCACCGTTGACTTTGGGATCAGACCATTGGTCGATATTATTATTGGTGTAACCAATACGCTCTCCAAATGGTACAACTCCTTTAATTCGATCGCCAGTTCTTGGTACTCACGGAGCTTCTCTCCTGCTTATGTTGTTATCGTCACGATATCAAATAACTTTGCCTTCTTTGCTTCTAAATCTATAATAAGGATATCGGGTCTGTTGTGACGCACTGTATGATCCGTTATTATAGATTCGTCCCAATAAATCTTGATGGAACCCTTCTGAAGCAGCCTTGTCGGATTATATTTGTAATATGGCACCTTTTCATCCAACAGGTTAAGTTTCACAGCCAGAGCCTGGTGGAATATTTTCGCCACATTGTTGTGTCTCTGCAGATACTCCGTACCAGCGAGTACTCCACATCCAGCTGTGATATGTTGGATTGATTCGTACGTCGTTGAAGAAAGTCGACATTTATCAGATGTTGTAGTGTCTTTAAGAACGTGCCTCCTATATGACCTGGTGGCAATGGCCTGATCTTGAATGGGGACTACAAAGCCTTCTGTTTCAGGGTATAGCCTTCCTGCCGCTAAGCATTTCACAGATTTTTCTTTGTCTATGGAGGCTTCATTCAATTGGCTGTATTATTATTATTATTATTATTATATATATACTTCTGTATCTTATCTTATTAACTAATATTTTTTTCTTTTCTTGTCCGCAGGTGGAGTGCAAGAAGGCGCAGCCGAAGGAGGTGATGCTGCCGGCCAACCTGGCGAAGACCCGGGCCGCCGGGAGGGGAGCTTACGGTGAGTCGACGGGGCGGCGGAGCCCGGGGGGGGTCCGCTTCGCCCCCTACCCCCTGCCCGTGTACCCCCCCATGTTCCCCGCCGTCCCCAAGCGGCTGATCCTCCGCCCCCAGCCGCCCCCCCTGGCCTACGCCATGACAGAGCTCCTGCCCATCCACTCCCTCGACCTGTTCCCAGCCCTCCCGCAGGCCATAGCCCTCTGAGCCTCGTCCTCCTACCCCTTCCACCTTAGCTCCGCCTCTGCGCCCTTCCTACCTGTGTAGTTGATATCTTTACATCTGTTTTCAGTTCTCCTTATATATATATGGTCATATGTTCAAAGTCATTCCATTTGTATTTGAGTCAACCTTTTATTTTATTTTTTATTTTTAAAAGAATCCAAAATTCATAAGATAACTGAACTCTCCACCACGTACTCTCCCTCTCTCCCCCCCCCCAAAAAAAATACCGAAGTAAAAACAGGATAATCCTTTATTTTTTAAACTGGATGAACAAAGAGCCGTCAAATTAGACTTTATTTTATATATTCCTATATGATAACTATTTATTAGCACGTGCGAATCTACGAGAGGGAGGCTTTCGGGCTGAAGCCCTCCCCAAAAATTGTAAAATATAACCATGTTTTATAGAAAAAAATATTAAAAAATAAAGTATTATTAAGATAAGAGAAGGTCCGGGGTTGCGGTCATAAATAGGCTAAATAGTGGTAAAACTATTTTATTGAAAGCCGACGTTTCGACCCGACTTTGCAGGTCTTCTTCAGGGAGGTGTGAAACTCCTAGCTGAACACATCTCCCTGAAGAAGACCTGCAAAGTCGGGTCGAAACGTCGGCTTTCAATAAAATAGTTTTACCACTATTTAGCCTATTTATGATCGCAACCCCGGACCTTCTCCTTCCTTAATAATGCAACGGTCAACTATTAAATATTCAATAATAATTATTTATTTTTATTTCTAATCCTCAATGACGTGATATCGATTATCACAACTTCCTCTAACGGTAAAAAAGTAGTATAGTTTAGTATATTATACTGCTTGAAAGAGTGCCGAAGTTTTTTTTTTTTTTTTAATTTGTCAAGCAACTTTACCAGCGAGGAATGTTAAAGTCCTCTACGCAAGTAAATTATAGTGTTTGAAATAGTGCTAACGTTTCATCCTTCTTTCATTTGGTCTAAGCTCTGCTATACAAGGCAGAAAAAATATATATATATTTTTAATAAAATGAAACAAATTTCATTTCTAGGTCGACTTAGTGAGCCATGGTTATTTATTCGATAGTAAAAATGTTTACATTTGGTTAAGTGGATTATAATCGCATATAAAATATAAATGATATTTATAATTAGTGTTGCTCAAATGCGAGACCGAGACGATTCTTGGTCTTGCAAAATCAGTCTTGGTCTTACGCAAGAGTCTTGCAGTTACTTATTAGCTTATTGCTATAGAGATATAAGAGTTAAATGCAAAAGTATATTGTTTATAGCAATTATTAACATATATTAACTAAGATTTTCAAGTATTAGTAACTATTTTGCCTGAATTATTATTTGAAAAATATATTTTTTTTACCAGTCCTGGTCTTGGTCTTGTAACAGTTAAGCGGCCTTGGCCTTGGTCTTGGAAAGTGCAAGACCAATACCGATTTTTGACAACACTATTTATAACTGACTAGTTTAAAATTTGTAAAATATATTAATAATAAGACGAAAAATTGCAGTGAAATCCCTTATTCAAGTTTCACCTTACCGTCGAGTATAAAAAAATTTACGAAATTCCAATGATACTTGGAGTAGAAGTGAATAAATACACTTCCGAAATTAAAATCATAAAATAATTAATTTTAAAAAATAAATAAAACAATATCTTTGTACTTTAAAGCATACTTGGCAGGTATTTTGATCTTCTATTTATTTATTTTATAGTAAATATTCTCATAGAGAATATGGAAATTGAAGTTTCTAGAAGTCAGTGTTGACGGCTCATGGTTCGACAATCAGTGATTCAAAAATTGTGTTTTTGTTTTTTAGTAGAATTGTATGAAATGTTTTCTTGCAGAAGTTCAGTTATCTTATGGTTTTTTTTTCTTCTTTAAATTATTTGAAGTTATGCCCTCGGCTTATCGCCTTGTATACTCGGGTACATCGGAAAGACTGCCTAATTCGTATTCAATAGAATTTTAGGTATCTTAGTTTTAGTGAGTAGAGAAATTTGAAGACCAAATTACAGTATATTTCCTATTTTTCAAGTTAAGGTGGAAGACTATATGTTCCTTAAAGTATTTACTATCCTCATTTACAGAGTCCTATTTATTTATTTATATATTTATTGTGATTTTTCACATGGCCCCATTGAAAAGTATTATAACAGTATTAAGTAGTCTTTAAAGATTTAAGACATATTTCTGGTAATATTAAAAAAAGGAAAAAAAAAATTAAAATTAACTTTTACTATTGAATATTATCTATTTACTATATGACATATTTATATATCTATATATATATATAAACTAATGTATTGATTACGTTGCTGTTGTGTCCAAAAATTTGCAATGTACTTAATTTAAGACGCTGTTTTATTGTTGTAATCAATTTTTGAAAGGCTTTATTTGATATGACAAGAAAGGGAAGATGTATATAGTTGTTGGAAAAAGACTAAAAAAACAAAAAAAAAAATGTAAAAAAATAACACTATATTCATGAAATTTCATAACATGAGTTAGTGACTGTCTTGTTGGGTTGGGGCTTAAGCCAGTGAAGATGTGGAAGCACCACAAGTAAGTCCTTAAAATATTTTTTCATTGGTTGTTTTGATTTATTTTCATTTTTTATTTTTATTCCCAATTATTTATTTATTTTTATTTTCGGGAAATGGAGTTGTCTAAGATGCAAGGTTTTATAGTTTGTATCACGGGAACACATTAGTAATCGATAGAAAAATAAATGAATTATTCCGTTAATATTTATTTTATTTTTTAAACAGTTTAAAAAAAAGTCATATAATGCATGTCAAAAGTTTAAGATTACTACCAAAATTTAAAAAAAAATTAATTAATTAATTTTATTCTTTCTGTAAACATTTTATTCTTTAATCCAGAAAGAAAAAGTATTGAGAACAATTATTCTTAAAAAAAAATTATTTCATCCGTTCCACCAACACTAAAAAATCTTTTTTTTTTCAAATTGAATTTATGACAAATTAATCATAAAACATGAGATACATTCTCTTTTGTATATATCTCCAACTAGTAATTGCTATAAATTCTTCTTTTTTGTTTGGAAAATAACATATTCAGTAACATATAGGGAAAATACGTGTACTTAGGGTCACTTTTTTTTAATGCCACGTAAATTCTAAAATAATAATGATTTTTAAAAGTTCAAAATAGAATTTTATTTGTCATGCTTTGAAGATACTATGTTAATTTTTACTATATTATTTTATCACCAGATTTTGATTATAAAAAAAAAATTAAAAATAATAAATGAACCAAGGTACAATTAGTATAGTTGTACCTTGGGCTACGATTTTATATTGGGCAGTATTTATTGTAATAATAATTATAATTATTATTCAATAATAAGTATTACTTATCTACACTGGTAAGCCCACAATATATTACGCTTGCTGTCAGTAAATAATCTTTTATAAACTTCTTCATTTTTTTCCCTGAATATTTATTTATTGAAAAATATTACAATCTGTCTCAAGGTCATTTATAATAGTGTTCTGAGATCACAATCACACTCTATGTACAATAAATAAAATAAATTGTATAGAAAATAATATATGTACTATAAATAAGAATAAAATAACCTAAAAATTAATAAATAAAAAGAACATGTGCATATGAATTTATTTTTTTTAATATAATTTTTTAACAAAGTCCTTAAGTATTTTGCTTAGAACTTATCTTCAAAAGAATCTAGGAATATTACTGTACCTCAATCGACTAATAATTTTGAATATGTTTACGTACTATTTTGATTAAAATTTATTTAAACAAGTCAAGAAAAATTACTTTTTAAACTCTAAAACAAGTTTATCAATAATATCAAAACTCGGAGCAGATTAGAGGCACCAAAATCAGCTGTGAAATATTCTGATAGTGTAAGCCTATTCAATGTTGCCACAAAAAAATTCCCTTTAAATTTCTCCCGGTAGAATTTCCTATTCTTAGCTCAAAGTACACATATTTTCCCCTTCAGGTTCACTCATAAAACTTTTCAACATGAAGTTTTAAAGTGCCCTTACCTTACCACTTTATTCTAGTTATTAAAAAACTTTAAATTTAACCTTTTTAAAACTTATTTTAAATAGTGTAAATAGAACACGGTTCCTGTAAACCTATGCTGTTGTACATGACACCTTAGATTGTAACCAAATAATAAAGTGGTCTTAAACTTATGGCATAGCTTTAAGGGTAAAAAACTTAATGGACGACTTTGTGAGCGAAGTGTAATGCGATAGATAACACTAAATGAGGAAAAAAAATCTTTCACTTTTGTGATCTAAGAATATAAACTTTTTAAGGTTTCGATTGGTAAATGTTCGGCAAAAAAGACAAATAAGTAAAAAAGAGATTTGTAGCAATTAAGTTTCTGATTGCCGCCGCTGTGATTTATCGGAATAGTCAAATAGTTTGTTTGTTTCAAAAGTGTACCATAACGACTAAATTTAATTTAATGTTTGATTAAATGTAAAGAAATATAATTAAATATAATATAATAAGATCTTAACCATGATTTTAAGAATTAATTTGCAAAATTTAAAAAATATTAATTATAATGCCAAGATTCGGTTAAACTATTAAAATAATAATAAACTATTAATTATAATTAATATTAAATAAATATTTTTAAGCTTCCATCTGCCAAAAATGTGACAACACACCTCAAAACAGTTAAACACTTATTGCTAGAGTGTCCCCGATATGAAAACAAAAGGCAAAAATTAAAGTTGTCCACGACATTAAAGTATATTTTCGGAGACATGGAAGATTTTGTCATTCTCTTCCAATATTTAATTTTAAAAAAAACATTACAACAATATAAAAATTAAGAATCGCTGACAATGACCCTCTAGGATAGAGGCAAATACAAATAAAATAAATAATAAATAAAAAGGTAGCTCATGAATTATGAAGTCGGTTTTTTTGTACATTATTATCAAAGTAATGTAAGCAATTAGTTATTCATGTTTTTTAATCATTTATTCAGAGAAAACTAAAATTTGGGGAAAACACACATGTTGGAGTAATGAAATTTATTTAACTATAATACATAGAAATTAAAATATTTTTTTTAAATTTACCATTACTCATTGAACCTATCTTTGGTACTTGTCGAATACTTCTCATAATTGAAATAATGATAATATCACTTCATTACTGATGAAATTTCGTTTTATTTAGGTTACACTGAGGTGATAACATTTTCTTTCTAAAATTCGCATGCTCACTAAAAGGTCATTGTGTTAAGTTTTTTACCTATGTCTACAAATTTTAATAATTTTTAAATCGTGATTCCTATATATTTGTTACAAAACTTAAGTTATTATTTTTTTTTTTTTTTTTTTATGTTCAGCTCATTTTCATTCAAAATTTAACTTTTGAGGGGATATAGTGATGATACGATATTTATTCGGTCTTAGGGACATATATAATTTTTTTCTTATTTTTTTATTTTTTTTTTTTAGTTTTTTTTATTATTAATATACCAGCGCTTACCGTGAACTACAAAATAACCTTGTCATCAGACTTCTATAGTTCAGCTAGTGAAATTAACATAGACTAGAAGTTATTGTTTTCTCTAACACTAATATTATAAAAGTTTTTTTGTAGAAGAGATAATAGGTATAGTCTTTATTATAAATAGTCGATTTTCTGAAATTTTGAGAATGAATAAATTGAAATTAGTAATTTGTGATATATATTTATACTTTTCATACAAATTATTATTTTTTTTATATAAAATTGACTCTTATAATAGATTTTAGTCATTAGGTTTATAGACCCAGGTTGAGGATAAAAAAAAAAAAGAAATTCATATCTGAAATATTAGAAAATGTAGAAAATATTTTGAAAAAAAAAAAATTATAAATATTGTACAATGTGTGTGAACCTGCCAAAAAAATATATTACACCAGATAGACCAACTAGTCAATTATTTAGGTTTTTTAGTTTAGTTTAAAAAATTTGTTTTTTAGAAGGACAAGTGTTGAAAGGTGAGGAGGGATAATATAAATATACATATATATATTCTTCTTAATAATTTAGTCTAGGAGTAGTTGAGTGTTTTAATGTAATTGAATTGTAATGTTTAAAATGGAATCTTTTAAATAAAAAATATTACATAATATTATTAGTGATATTATAGTGTCCACTTGTGTAAGCTTTGTTGTTTAAAATAGTTGTGTGACAAGAAGAGATGTAGTTATAGACAATAACTAATTATATATTACAGATAAGTTTGAACAAAAAAAAAAGTGTGATTTAATGTAGTTTATAGATCATATGATTTATTTTCTTCTTTTTTTTATTCTTTTTTTTTATGAAAATAAAATAAAAAAATTCTGATTGAATGAGAGATAAAGTTATAATATTTGTGTTGTTTCAAGAGGCATCCGAATGTGTGAAACTTGTGTTTGTGTGCGGTGAGGACCTAGTAGTTTTTAGTAACTATAGATTTAGTAAACTTAGTTTAGTTAATCCGCGCCCCCCGTTTCCCGCTTAGTTTACCCTCTCCCGCACACAGCACGATTTTTTTTTCCTGCCTTCCGTGCTTCTTATTTTTATGTAAGTCCTATTTTTTTTTCTGTTTGTTTTATTTGTGTTTGTATTTAACATTTTGTTTTTAATTATTTTTATTTATTTATTAACTTTTCCCTTTTTTTTTTTTTCGGAGAGACTAATGTTGAGAAATGACCCATTTATGAAATTTCATGGAGTTTTTTTTTTAATTTAATTTATTTTTTTATTTTTGCTTTTATATTCATCTATTTTTCTCCTTTTTTTTATAAACTTTTTTATAACATCATGAACCGTTTCTAATTTATTTTTGTCTTATTTAGATTTCATGTGGTCGTTGGGGGCCTTACCAGATGGTGAGTAAATTATTTTCGATAGATAAATAATTTATATTATATTTATTTTAAACTATTTCAATACTTAATCTATTTCTGTGTTTTTATTATATATATTTTACCTCTATTCCTATGAACAACTATAGTTAAGCGAACTTAGGAGTTACAGTTTTCTGGAAGACCGATTTTGTTAAAAACAATTGATAATTTTTACTGAGTTGAAGATACAAAATAAATAAGCAGAATATTCAACCGTTGACGAAGAAACATATGAAAAATCCTCTAGTATAAAATATCCAAAAAAGGAATGGATATGTTATTGTCTAATGCAATTTGAATAATGGAGAAAATTTATGCAATTCAAAAAGAAAAAAAAATAGAAGACTTTATGATACAAAGATGCAAAATTTCTCCTAATTTAATTATATATTTAGAAACAAATAGTGAATTTAGTTCTAACAAAGATTTTAAAATAATTCATAATTGGAATAAGATACCTCAACGAATCAGTAAGACATGCATTTCTAAGGATAATTTCTATCAATTGAATTTAAAATATAAAGAATTTACAATTACTTGCTGTTTACATCAAAGAAAAATCTTTAAATAATCAGAAGAACAAAAGAATATTTGGTCAAAAACTAATTGAGTGAAAGCTGTGGTTTCGATTATACAGTTTTTGTGGTACAACGGTGAGATAATATATAAATATGATTATTTCATCTATCATGATTTTTTAAAATATTTTTTGTTATAAAGAATGTTTAACTATTTAGTTATTTTATTTTTATGTTACGTACTAACGATTCTAAACAGACCTGAGACCAGTTTCAGACTAGAATAAGATTAATAACAAACAAAACAGAAAAGGATTAGATTGGATTAGTTAAAAAAATTTACTTTACTGGTGTTTTTTATTGCCAAAGGCAATTATTTTTTAATATTTTTTCATGTTTTATTATTCTCTGACTATCCAGCTTTAATAAAAGTCCAACTATGACGAAATGAAGCCAAATGCTGATTCTCAGTAATCAAAAAACTAACTAAAGGCATAGTCGTCAATCCGCCATGTGTGAACGCCATTTTGGGGCAGTGCGTTCACTTTTTTTTCTAGGAACATTGGTTTTTTTTTAAATAAATGGTTACGAGGAACACAACGATATGCAATTTATAGGGATGTAAGGGGAGGGGTGGTTAGGGGGGTCCGACCCACCGTGTATTAGCTATGTCCTTTACTGGTGCGCTTTCTCTACCGTGTTTCTGAAATTCATCTTTTATGTATATATATACATATACATATATATATATAGTAAGGAAGAGCGGATCTCAATGGATAGGGCACTGACTTCCAAAGCACAAGGTCCCGGTTTCTAATTTCCCCGATTTTCAAAGGATCCTGAAATCAAAGGTCCATTAAGTCCAATTCATTAATTCGTAGGAAGTAAACCAGAGAAGTAGACCTCGACGACAAACGTTCGCTATTCTCTGTTTCAACAGTTACGGAATGGAATTAATCCGTAACAAATAATAATAATGATATTAATTTAACTTTTATTTTGTTAAATATCCCAATTGGTGAATCATGTATTATCTTTTAGTTTCTCATGGCTCAAAGTATAAAAGCACAAAGCCCTAGATAGCCAGGAGGTCAAGCTATCTCTGATAGCTTAGAAATAATTATATAGAATGTACCGACTGTACAGAAGACTCATTATCAAGAGGGAACAATAACCGATTTCAGCAAAAGGGCACTTTCTCACAGACATATTAAGAATATTAACTATCGATAACTTCCTTTGCCGTCCTCTTCCGACTTCTCCCACTCTTCCCTTCACCCTCTCGCTATTCTTGGGTACATAAACCCCATGCTCCTAAGAACAAACCACTCATGTAGTTACATTCTTGAAGTCACACTCTTCACTGTAGGAGACCTGGAGAGTAAACTCGTGTAGTCAACCCATATATCCACAGTATATTACTCTTTATTTTAGATGTCATTTGTAACAGACATTATGAATAAAAGCGTTACTAATAAAGTCTTCACTGCCTCCGATTCGTTAACTAACGGAACAGACATGACTTTAGGACCACGTCTTTCATGTTGCTTGTTGTATATTAATATTCTGTTTTGGATGACTATATCTCGAAAACTATATCCGTTGGACTATGGCTGACCAAAGACGAATTTGTATTATAATATTATAAATTAGATATATCTGTTATGTTATTTTATGTTATGTTATTATATATATATATATATATATATGTATATATAATTGATGATGATGATGATTTCAGGTTTCCCAGCGGCGGCCTACGCTGCTTACGCTGCGGGTAGAGGGTACAGCGGTTACCCGAGCTTCGGCCTTCCCTACCCAGCAGGTAATCAGCATTCGCTGGCTTTAGTGTACCATCCCCTCCCCCCCTTAGAGTCCCTCCCCATCCATCCCCTCCACCTGTGATCTCTACAGCTCCATCTATAATAACGCTATAACACTAACTATATCGAGGTGGCATATCGACGCTTTTGTTCGCGCTAGTCGTTCATAGTAATAATTAGTCATTTTAATGCTAGTATATATCTTTATAGAATTAATCATTATTAACAAAAAAAAATAATAAAAAAAGAATTAACCTACTTTGAAAATATTCTTAGTAAATCAGTAGTAGTTAAACTGACAAAAATAATAATATCACTTAATATATTATAGAATTTAAAAAAAAAAAAAATACTAGGAAGGATTTGATATATTAGTCTATAGGGAGAAAACAATGAGGTTATTAGATTTTTTCTTTTAGTATTAAAAACCCGAAAATTATTATCAAAGAACATAAAGGATAAAAGCTACGTGTGCCTAATAAGCTAAAGAAAAAAAAGTCCATTATATTAAATGATTTTTCTATGTATAAACAATATGTACAACGCTGTTTATTCGTTTTGTATATGTATATAAATGGAATAATGTTGAATAATAAAAAAAAGAAAAAAATTGTAAATTTTATAGTTTTGATATTACGTTTTGTGTACGTCGACTGTTTGTGCAAGATTTTTGATGGTTTGCAACTGAATATGAACCCTGTTGCTTTTTATTTTTTTAATTGGATATAGCAATTTGTACAATATACTAACCCGGATCTCTGAGCAGTGAACAACAACAATAATATATTCAGCAAAATCCAAAATCAAATACTCACTGACATTACTACATTATTATTACTATTATATTATTTAATATAACATACAAATAACTAAATCTGAGATCCGTATTAGTATTAATCGAGAAACGCATTTATGTTTTTTCTGTGATATATTATTTTTTTATTAATAATAATAAAATTCGTTCTGCTCAAAAGTTGTGAAGCTTTGATATGAATTATTTTCTGAGCTGAAAAGTATATGAAGGCAATAGTGTTGTTGATTTTGGTTTATTATTATTATTATTATTTTATTGATAATCTCATTTAACCTAGACATCGAAGGGTTGTGATAATTTTAGTTCGCCCTTCTTGAATATATGTTTAATTTTCGCTTTAACCGATCTCGAAATATATATGTATAGTATCCACTGTATTACAGGTTCCTTTGATTTTTTATTTATTTAAAATTTTTTTTTTTAATTTTAGTTTGTCCTTTTAATTTTATTTCATACATTTGGCCTCGTAGCTCTCCAGTATTTTATTTTATTTATATATATTTTTTTTTTATTTTATTCTTCGAGCCTGAACTGGGAAAGCTGTGGAAACCAAAGGGAAGGCTTTCCTTCGTACAATCCGTTCAGATATCTCATTGTCTCTCTTGAAATGAAAGTTGAGTGTATGTGCGTGCAAGATCTCTTATTGATAATTGTAATTTATTGTACAAATATAAATCCCCGTCCTTATTCCTTAAGCTGTGAACACTAACTTGGCATATTATTACATTCAAAGTAAATAAATTTTTTAAAAATATATATATGTAATAATAATTTTAAAAAAAAATAATATAAACGAGTAAAAAAACTCGACAAGACAAAAAATTAAACGTTAAGTTATAATTGAAAAAAAAAAATCAACCATACAACCTATGTCTCTAACGTTTAGGTAAAGAACCAACTATTCAACGTTTAGTTAACTCAGGCATCGTCAGGAAAGAAAAAAAAAAGATCGCAGTTTTTTTTTTTTTACAGATAAAACTCAACTTAAACCCATTTGAAAAGGCAACAGATGAAAAATCTAATCACTAATCAAAATATATTAGTATACTTCTAATAATACAAATAATAAAAAAAAAATATTAAGAAAAAAATAAAAGAAAGTTTATTTTCATAAACAGCTGATCAATTAGTTGAATTGAAAAAAAAATAGCTAGATTCACTAAACCTATTCAAAATATCGAATGTTTCAAAATTAAAATTATTCAAATTTCTATTTCAAGTCCTGTTATTAACAGAAAGATCTAATTTCTGTGCAATGTTCATAGCCTGAAATTTATTCTTTTAGAGCTATTTCTCTCTTTTTGCAACGCGTGAATAATATCGAAATCAAATACATATTTAAATACTTCAGAGTGTAGTTTTAGGCTCCTTTATGTTAATAATATATCCTCAGATATTTTCCTCGCTTGAAGTATGAGTGAAGATGTCATGGAGTGATGTGATCTTGTGTTTTTTTCTGTATTTTTGAAGAAAAAATTTCAACAACTTGCGGGTTTCCTAATGGGTAGAGTTTTGTCTGTGAAAAAAAATAGTATTTCTTTGGATATCTTGGAATGGTTTGTTATTGTTTTTTTCGTCCTGATGATGAATAAAGTTTGAAACGTTAACTGGTTAAATCTGTCTTAATCTGCATTTTAGAGACAAAATGTTAGCTTTTTCGATTATAACTTAACAATTAATAAAAATATTTTTAAAAAAATATTCCAAGTTATTGTAAACAGTAATCATAAAATTAAAAAAATGAAAAAAAAAGAGTTAAAAATGTAAAGCCAATGAAGTATTTGGCTGCTTGTGTTTTTGTTGGCAATTTTAGTGAGGTGCCTCCAAAAAAAAAAAAATAAAATAAAAAAAGCAAACATATCTTTTATGTATAACAGATGCTCTCTCTGGAAATGAATGTAAGCAATATTAATCAAAGAATACACCATGTTTCATCAAATGCTTTTTCTTCATTTGATTTCAGATATTGTCACACTCTTTCTCTCTGTCTCTATCTATCTTTATCCAATGAATTTTTTTTTTTCTCTCTTCCTTTTCCACCGATTCTGACTCGTCCATTTAAATGAATGTGCATTCTCTTTTATTCTTTATATTCTTTTGTCCCCTTTCGGAATAAATTTATGTACTTCATGTCGCTACTGGGGCACTTTATTTTCTGTTTTACCATGAATTTGTATACTAGTTTGGGCGCCATTTCTATCTCTTAATTTTATTCTATTGTTTTATTATTTTTGAATTCATTTAATTTTTAAAAATTTGGATTCTATTTTTTTTTCCTTTAGCAAAACTAAAGCTCTTAAGAAACAAAATTGACATTAATTTAATATTTTTTTTTTAATTTTGTAGCTTTCCTTTAGATAATATATTCTGTAAATTAAGTAAAGAAATAAAAGAATATATTCACTTAAAATCAGATCTAAAACAGCCTTAGATAGCTAACCACATTGATAAAGAACTTCACTCCATTACAAATTAAACATATGAGTGGCTTATTTGGAAAGTGATTAACTAATTATCTTTGAAAATTTTTCAGTAAATAATTTAAATAAAATTTGTAATATCAAAATCAATATTTAAAAAAAAATAGAATTAAACATTTATTTATTTGTAGTACATATTGCCGAAAATCGCTGATTATTTCGATAGTAATAAAAAAAAACTATATAAATTTAACTTTTTGTTTACAATAATAGTAAAACACTTATTTTTAATTTTTATATGAATATAATATTGATTTAATGCATTATATTTTTTAGATATGGAAGTTTCATTACATTAAACAAAAATATATTAAAAATAAACTTATTTTTACATTATTTTTTTTTAATTTAAGCACATTTAACATGAGTTGATAGTTATCTCGATTTCCGAGAAAAATATCTATTATCTATCACTTTGGAAATTAGTGACTCATATACATTTTATGATAAATTGTTGTTGAGTGAATTAATTCATTTAGTATTGTTTGTACTGTTGATGTGAGATGTGCTGTTTCTGTTCTGCATTTATTTATCGATTTTTGAGAAATTTATGTTGTTTTTTTTTTTAAAATACTTTTCCAAACCACCCCTACCTTGTAGTGTTCCCGTAGCGACTCGCGCCCGCCTCACCCAATCTTATCCTCCCCCCCTTTCAAGAACACAGGGACGAGCGGATCTAATAAAGTTGTTGTTGTTGATGTGTCTAGGCTGGACCGTTTACAGTTCTGTTAGACCGGCTAGGGACGGCCTAGGGACTCGATGCCTAGCCGGTAAGGGCAACATTATTATTGAAAAATTTATTCTTAAATACTCTTTCTGGGAGCTCGGAGCCTCAAACAGCGCATACTCATTAGAAACTGTCACATCTCATATATGAGTCCTATATAATTTTTTTTTTTAATATTATAACTTATATAAATTAATTAATTTAATCATTTAAAAATGAACCAATGTAAAAGTTTGTTTATTTTACAATTTAACAAAAATTACCGAAATTAAAAAAAGCATTTTTATTGCAGATAATTTTCAAGGACCATTAGTAATTTAAACACAAGAAATTAATTTTCTTTATTTATTTCATTCTTGAAAAATAATTAAATAAGGTTACAAACATAAAAAAAAAAAATAATAAAAAGGATCTATTTAATGTTTAATTTATATTCTTAGTTCTTTATATATATATTTTTTAAATTGTCACAATACAATTACATTTGCATATAAAACTAGTAGATAATTAATTTAATTTAATTTCAATACTAATTGAGTTGAAAAACGCTTCCTTAAAATAATGTTAATGAAATAATTTTTTTTTTAAATATAAAACTAGTAGATAAATGAATATATTAAATTAATGAAGCATACTCACCAATGCTAATTAAAAATTTGATTAAAAATAAAATATTTATTTCAATTATAGAACTTTCATTAGAATTTCCGATGTCATTCATGAATTAGAATAATTATGTTTTGTCTATGGGTTACAGAAACAAATAAAAATAGACACGTGATTTTTTTTTTTAAACTGGAAATAAGCAATTTTAAAAAATAAAAATTTGATAATTTAATTTTGTTTATGAATTTTCATATTTTTTCTTAAATGTTTTTTTTGGGCTTCCGAGATGTGACTGAAAAGAAGCTCCCAGCTCTCTGTATTAATTTTATATTTACAATTTTTAATATTATTTATCTTGTTGAAATAAATTAGTTT